AACGAACTGCAAAATGATTTCTAGTTGTAATTGTTACAAATCTGGACCTTCAAAGGATTGATCTGCAGGACCTGAGAACATAAACACGCTTTTCTGACTTGTATTTGTCATTTCTTTCAAAGCTTAAAAAACCCCAAACAAATACGTGCTGTTTTTCCATTGTAATGTGAAAAATGTCAAGTTGTATGTGTACTGTTGCTAGGTACTCTACATGTGTATTCAAACAAAGGAACGGAAAGAGGTGGCGGGCTAAAATTGTAGCTTTCTAGACATCTGCTGTGCCTCCAGTAACAAGCTGGTCTGTTCAAGTGGAACTGCTGAACTCAGCTGCCATATTTGCAGTTGAGGCTTTTCACAGCGATAAACGCCGTGTGGATTTTTGAGGACTTTTGGAGTTGGGAGCGTTGATCCATGTGTTGTGTTTGAAAAATAATGTAAACCTTGTCAAAAAGAAAGGGGAGGAAGCGGTGGCATTTCTTGATAAAATGTTTTGCTTCCAAAAAGAGGCAAAGTTTAACATATGATTTGCATTGTTTTATTTCTGTTATAAAGGTATGGAGAACAATAACAAAATGATACAATAATACAAAAGGAAGTTTACATTATAGTTACAATAAATTAAAATACAAAACACAAAAATGAGCATACATTGAGATGTACTTTGTCCCCTATAAGGATGATTATCTTGAGCCACACACATATGGAGAGCTAAATCAGTTTCCTCACAGCCAGAAGGTTGCAGGTCTAGTTTCAGATTGAAGTTTCTGGTCAAAGATTTTCATGTTTTGTGAAAATCTGGACTTCCCCAGGCTGATTGTCTTTCTCTCCAAACTCCCCAAAAAAGCACATGTGTTCTATTAGAAGAACTAATAGAACTATACCGCACAAATAATTACCTTCTGAAAATGGGTTAGTGTTTGGCTACAAAGTCACTTCCAAAGCTTGAAGGAGTGCAGGAAGGGCACACGAATACATTAACATGCAAATGACTTTGTGTTGTGGTAAACCCTCCAAGAGACTTTTTCGGTTCAGCGGTAGAGCGGCGCGTTTAGTCGACTAAAGCCTCTTCACTAGAAACTGGATTACAGTCGAGTATTCCCAGGGAGCACCCAGCTTTGCCTGAAAGTAAATGAAGCTGTGGATGTTTGTGGTCATCATTTCACTCAGTTAATAACAGATACCAGTGTTTAAATGGTTCAGTGTATTGGATTATGCTTGCAAAAATAGTGGCGTACGTAAAATTGCGCTTAGTGAACCCGTCAGATTTTGGGCCAGCAACACATGTAAAGTCGGACTGCCTTGTGTACGTTTTTGAAATATGGGCATGATGTAAAAAAAATTTAAGTTATTACACGGGGAGTGTGATATATTTACTACCTATTCTAACTAATATATGCATGTAATTTATGGACACTTAAAATGCTTCTCCTTTTAAGTATGGCAATTAGCAGCAAGCAGTAGACCTGAACAGTCTGCCTCACAGCTGTCCGAGTAAAAGTTGCCAGCAACACGTCTGGACTGGCTTTCGTTCCTCCCCTCCCTGCGGTAATAAAAGCAGCGGGCAGCAGCATTCCCTCATTCCGCCAAGGTTAAGTACCGTCTCACTGAAGCATCTCCCAAGTCAAAGTGTTACGTCCTTATTTTTTAAAACCAAAAGCACCTTTTTTACAAGATTAATTTGCTGGTCAGATATCATACATAACCTGTTAAATTTGCTCCTTTTGATAGACGGATGTTATTGTGTAATATACAACCAACTTACATGGTATCTTAAATATGCAAAAATCATAATGAAGGCACATTCACACAAAGAGTTAAACTGTTTCATGTCACACTTTAGTCAATGGCGTCTCACCAATGGTGCTTACTTGCTGGAATATATCCGAGAATGTGCACTATCGGTTTATGTGTGTATTTTGATTTTATTGTGGTGCTAGTGTACATCGTGTGTTTTTACTGTTTATAATGTAATTATTTATGGTAGTAACATTTATCTATCTCTCTCTCTGCCTACTGATCTATTGATCTATTGAGCTAGTTATAACGCAGTTCAGTGCAACACTATGATTACAGATAAACATTCTTGGCTGTTATGGATTTCTAACAGCCAAGAAACGTAAATGAGGTCATCAGCGGTTCTGTTAGGCCGGTATGGTAATTGGTCCAGCTCAAGGTCAGGAAGAGAGTGTCCTTTAAAACAAACCAGTCCCTCAAAACAACCAGCAGGTTGTTGTGAGGCCGGATGTTAGTATTACGGTCGTGGTTTCTCGACAGGTAGGCAGTGGAGTTGTTTTTTTAGAAAGTGTTTTAAATCCTGTTTTAGATTTTTGGAGATGTGATTTTTACAGCATCGACGGACCACACTGACCATGCTGGGTCGGCTCTTTCTAGGAAATTGGTCTGCGTGCGGCCAGCAGGCTCCTGTGCTGCTAGTTACACTATCAGATGTTGTCTCGTGGGTAAATACTTCCTCTTTGTTGCTGCAGTCCAAATCCCTTTCCACTTCTCAGTTCTTCATTCCCCTTGCGTGTACAGTTTCATTTATCTTGTCGCTCTCTGAGTCATCAACCCTTTTCCTCTTCAGCCTTAGTCTTTTCTCCACATCTGTTTCTGAATGTTTTGTCCTTCTCCTCTCCCCCATTTTTCTCCATCACTACACACCAAACCACTTCATCGCTCCTTGCCTTCCCTCACAGATCCACCCTCGTCTGTCCTCATCTTCCTCCATGACCTCCTCTTCTCTCTCAAGTGGGCTATCCACATGGTAATGTGTTTGCAGACAGCACACAGTGACTTAGGGAAGCCATTAGGGAATGCCCTGACGGCGTCGGATGTCTTTGAGAGTACAAGTGCTGGTGTTAGCATTTGTCAGGGGCCTGCTTGCGGGTGTGTGTCCGCGTGTGTGTCTGTGTTCATTTTAAGGTTATAGTGAGGGCTGAGACCCGATGCGACACCTGTTTATGGTGACTTCTTTCATGAGAAGCAAACATGTGCAAATTGCTTGCTGGAAGTTTTACTTACAGTCACCATTAGGAAGGATGTCATATTGATTTAGGATTAAAAAAAAGTATTTTAACATAGTTTTAAAGAGTTGATTGATTATACAACAAACTTCGAACCCTTTAAAGCAAGTATTGGGAGGACAAGATTAAATAATTTTTTGTTTTCTGCAATCCAGATATATTCAGTATTATATGCAGAATGTCCTTAATCAAGTTTCTTCTCTGACACTGCCTGGGCATTTGATCACTCTTTTGACATAATTGTCGGTTTCCTTCTAGAGACTTGATTTTGTAAGTACAGAATATTTCAAAAGTGTTGAAATCATTGTCTTTCCAGAAGCCTAACCTTAGTCTTCCTTACCAATTTTAGTTCCAGTTTGATATTAGTTTTTATCCATTTTTGTGCACATTTTAACAATCTCGATGTGAAGTTGGAGAAGTTGTCTTCACTGTCTTATTTATTTTGTAAAGAGTTGTTTCAAAAGTATTCACCAGTAGCACATGTCATGAAAAAGACCCTGCACATGATGCTGCCCTCACCATGCTTAAAGCTATTAAAAGGAAGTGTTTCCTTGACTTTTCCAAATACTTGAAAATAAATTAATCACTCTAATGTCAGCCATAATTGCATGTAAACTCAGTACTGTCTATTTGTTTTTAGGTGCATTTAATATCTTATTTTTGCCTAGCACTATGTGCTGGTGACTGTGTGTGAGGCTTCATTTACATGCATGCATCTTGCTTGCATGGAAGTGTTATGAATGCAGGGCTGTTGATCCCATTGAATTATTGATGACAGGGAGGTCAAGGATATCGCTCACTCTGGATCACACAGAGGACGGAATAGAAACCAACCCTGGGAGCGGCACGCCGATCCACTCTACCCCCTGGCTGCACGCACAACTACTGTCTCATGAACAGACGTTGCAGTTAATGTTAGCCATAGATCTGCTAAAGAAAGGACATGTGGAAACATGATGTCTCGAGCCCTGTTATTTGTCAGTGTTTCAAAAAACAGGCACTCGCTTGGGCTGCTTTGCCGAGCTCGCACTCCATCCTTCCTCACACATCCCAAGTCGCCAAGTCAAAATTTGGCCTTCGGGTTTAATCAATGCATGTGCTACAACATAATGCCTTATTGATCCCCTGAGCAGCGTTCTAAATAACTCTTAATGACTGACGTCACAAAGCTGCGAACGGTTGGTTAGCTCTTTGTAAAAGTCCTTGTTTACAAGAAGACAGGACCTTGGGGGGGTTTTGCCACCAATTTTAATAAAAGCCGCCGCGGTTCGTGTGGGTGCGGGCTGCGATTCGCGTCATGAACACGATCAATGACATCGGGCGATGACATGCAAACATCGCCGGGCATGTTTATCTGTCTGCTCGAACAATTTGCACAGCCATTTACTTCGATCTTCAGAATTAGGAGTCAGCTTGCTGCAAATCACTGTGACACGTTTGAGTCGGCCGGTGCACAGCTTTGCCCCCTCTGCATCTCCTCCGTCCTGCTTGTTGAGGAGCCCAACACGTGGGAAGGATGAGATGTGAAGTGACAGCTGACTGGGGAAGAAGGACGAGCGGGATCCATCGCCCTCTACACTCTGACTTATTTTTTTATTGTTTGTTGTTTTTTGTTTTTTTTCTGGCTGTTTAATGTTGGTGTAATGTTTCAGTGTGTTAAGGAGTTCGAATTATTACAACTTTAATATAGGATTCCTGTGAAGTCTAGGAAAGTGTGTATAAATATTAACATAATTCCAGGGATCAATCCATTTGTCTTTTAAACAGTAATCTTTGGTCTGGACAGTCTGACATTTTAACAGGAAAACTGTGTAGGAACTCTTTCAATCGCATTGTTTTTTGTTGTCTCAACCATATATAAATATATTTATATTCCACATGAAAATGCAAAACAGCACTGATATATAGTTGCATGACAGGTAACGGTTGCCATAAATTTAATCCACGATCTGCTCCTCCTGTTCTTTCTTTCTTTAGGTGTTCAACACCTACTCCAACGAGGACTACGACCGACGTAACGAGGAAGTGGATCCTGTGGCCTCCTCGGCGGAGTACGAGCTGGAGAAGAGGGTGGAGAAACTGGAACTCTTCCCCGTGGAACTGGAGAAAGGTGGGAAAGAACGTCTTAATGAGGAAACCGGTCTGTTGGTTACTCATTACACCTGAGAGATGGAAGCACCCACACACACACACACGGGTTGTCATCGGGACGCTTTCTATTATTAACAATATTCACGTTGCTAACATAGTGTGCTAGAAATATTAGTTGTTCAAGAAAAGCACGGAGATTCCCCTGCATGCATGCATGTATGAAGAATGCGTCATCGGCTCCTCAGCTTCTTTTTCCACTTGTCTTGTTCTGCTGATGCATTTCCCCACGATGCAGATTGTAATTGCCCAGAAACCGAGAACGTTGTAGGACTCCTCCATCGACGAACTGTTATGCAACCCGAACAACTTGTAAATAATTAATTAAAGGAAGGGGGTTGGAAGAAGTTCTCATCCAGCCAATTTCTTATTTTCCATGAAGATGTTTGAATGTAAATGTCTTTTTCTACTCCTAACCAATGAATTATTGATGTTTAAATGCCTTCATTCAACAACATTTCCACGTATCCCTCTGAAGCTTTTTGGACTAGTTCCAAGCTGATTCTATTGATGGAAAAACAAAAAAAAAAAAGAAAACATTTTGCCGAATTCCATCTGAATGCATATCGAAATGAACACTGTGTGTCCAGACGAAGACGGCCTTGGGATCAGTATCATCGGGATGGGTGTCGGCGCTGATGCTGGCTTGGAGAAACTGGGCATCTTCGTGAAGACCGTCATCGAGGGTGGAGCTGCCGAGAGAGACAGCAGGTCAGGGCTGGGCTCGTCTTGCTAACTTTAGTGCATTGCAGAAGTATTCATGTCCCTTCAACATGTTCAGATTTTGTTTGCACTGCAAACACAAATTTCAATATATTTATTGGGCCTCCATGATAGATGAGCACAGAGTGGCACATAGATACAATTCTAGTTGTTGCATGTTTCTACCAGTGTTGCATATCTGTAGACCTTTTGCATAATATCACGGTTTATATTAGTTTTAAGTCTTGCAGATATTCTCATTTGGATAAAAGTCTGTACTTTGACTGGGCCAGTCTAAATGACATTTATGGGATCTAAATCATTCCATTGTAGCTCTGTCTTTACATTTAGTGTCCTCAACCTCAGTTTCTTGTCCTTTGCAGCCTCTTATAGGTTTATTCTGATTTCCCTTCATTTAGCTCCATCTAGCTTTCTGCTCCCTACTAAAATAAAACATCTCTAAAATAAAACATCTCTACAGCATGATGCTGCGACCACTGTGCTTTGTTGTGGGATGTGCTGAACAGCGATGTTTTTCTTTTTGGTGCATCTAGAGTTTTGCGTGTTTTCTGAAATGTCTCATCTGAAACTTAAAGCTGGACTTCTTATCGCTTTTTGTTTGACAATCACATTTCTCTCCTGCCTCTGTGACTTTACTCATGGATGTCACAGTAAAGGGGGCTGTAAAACAATATTTGCAAAAACGAAGCATCTTTTTCCTCCATCACATAAATTCCAGATAACATCTACAAAATACTTTGGTTGCAGCCCAACAAATCATGACAAATCTCAAGCAAAGACTCTACAGAACATCCAATTCTTGGAGAAAAAAAAATCTCCCAGCTGTTGAAAAGGTTTTTTTTTGTTTGTTTGGTGTTGTTTCTGCCAGCCCACCTCCACACTCGGTTTCTCTCTCCGGTGCACTCGGTCGCGCTCTGTCCTTGTCAGATTTATCAGCAGGGGTTCGGATTAGATCTACTGAGACACAAGGTTCTTATACGGGAATGTAGGTGTATTTGTGCTCCAGATATATCATTTGACAGAGATATTGCATTAAGGCGTAGCGTTCCTCTTTATAAGTTTTAAACAGAATCCCCGTTCTCCCATCTTCACAGTGTGTTTCTGTTTCTATCTCTGGATGGTGCATCTGAGCGTGAACAGTGGAGAGCGAGCACTGAGCCAGGAATACAGGATATGACAGCCTCTCAGCAGGGAGGCTGTGATTTCTGCCTACAAACCGCAAACTTCCACCCATCAGAGTGTTGATGTGGTTCCTGTTCCCTCTGAACGGATTAAAACATTGATAGGCTGGTCCGCTCGCTGCTGCACGAGAGCGCAGAGCGCTCCGGAGTCTGGATTCTGACGCTCTAAAGGTGTTAGTGGTGGGCGTGTTTTGTTCTGCGATTGATGTAACCCTTTAAGCAGAAGCCTCAGTTGCAGTTTTCCAGAACACGACAGTGAGATTAGCTCAAAGTGCAGCAAGCAGAGGAGAAGCTGCTTTTTTGCGGGGAGGAAAATTTGATTTACCCCAACGTGACAAGGAAGGAGAAAAGTGGAAAGAAAAAGTGGAAAAGACAACGGGAAGGCTCTGTTCCTGCATGAATGTAGTATTGTGTTCTTGTAGATCAGAGCCTTCTTCTGACTTCATTATGTAATCAATTGTTCTCCACTGTTTATTCAACTGAGATAATGCTGTGTTAATGTTCACAGAAAAACTCCCAAAGGTTCCAAATATTTTCAGTTTTTCATTGTTCATCAAAATACCTACATTTGCTTATGTGAAATACTGCATTCTCAAATTGTACAGGTCCTTTGGAAAACAAACAGTTCTGTTGACTTTCTCTCATAGTGTGTATTTGGTGACTGACCCATAGATTTACCTCAGTGGATGGGCGGAGGTGGCTCTTGCAAGCTCCTCGAACAGAAACACCTCGAGGCCATGGTTTTTGGTGAGATGCCAAGCTTCAAATCAGAAATTTCAAGGGCAAACTTTGACGCTTATTGCAAGCAGGGATTATTTTCTGTCACCCAATCATTGGAGTGTGTTATGTGACGCCACAAGCTCTCCTAATCATAACCTACCACTGCCCAAAGTACCGACAACTGAAGGGGGTCAGTACTGTTGTGATAAGGGCCACTTTTATAGTGAAAACAGACACAATTGCACCGACCTGTGCCGTACCGCTCAGGAAACGAGGTGTAAGACCTGTTCAGTTTCTCAGAAGTGTTAAGAAAGGGATTTTACGGACAGGTTCTGAGTCCAGGTGCCTCCTTAAATTTACCCGGGGACGGTTAAAAATGGAGGATGGATTCAACAATGAGCATGTCTCAGCTTTCAGAACCAGAACCGTCACAATCAAACTCAAAAAGAGCATCTCACTTTGATCTAACAAGTTCGTCCTTGGGACGATGTCTGCATAAAATGATAGGTCATTTTGATTAACAGATGAACTGAAAACCCACGGCAGTGGACGTCTGCCAAAGAAAATATTTCCTTGTGTTTATCTTATTGTTACTATTGTTGAATGAACTTGCAGCAAAACTTTCAAGGAGTTTGCTGTGCTTTAGTTTGAAAGGACATCTCAGCGTTACTCTAGGAGTAATATTTCATGACTTTGTGATGTCAGTGTTTTCCATAAGCATTGAAGTACACATTATATAGCGTTACATATAATGTGTGGCTTCATTTTTGTTGGTAGATAAAAAATATGAAATCTAATCAAATCAAGAAGCCCTTTGTAACTATTTAATAAAACAAACAAAACCCACTTGGATTGATATGATAATGAGGACCCATTCAGGAAGAGTTTCTTTGTTGCATAAGAAAAAATTATGTTCTGTGCCTTTAAGGCACTGAGGATTTATAACGATAGTTTTTTAAAAATAAATACTTTCAAGTAAACTGAATAGTTATCAGAACTATTCATTAAAATGGTTTTTCTTGCAACTTCCCTGGCACTGAATTCTTTTTTTTAATCTATGGTTCAGCTTCAGGTCAAGGAATTTTGTAAGCTTTAAGTTTTTATGTTTTTTTTTATGTACTATGTAGCCCGAGGCAAAAGACCGCCTGGCCTCTGTATCCTTATTAGCCTCACTTATTAGCTCACTTGTTTTTTTTGTTTTTTTTTAGCCTCATCTTTTCCGTCTCCTGATTTTGCAGGAGAAGTTACCTTTGTGAACGTTTTCTGAAGCAGCCGTGTTGCACTTCATAAAATGATTTGAACATGTATGACGTGGGACAGTGAACATGACATTAATGAGAAAAAATTAGGGAAACTTCTCAGGCTCATTTCATCAAAGCCCGGTGTTGCCCGATGCCTCTGCTTGTGCCCATCAGGATCAAGGTGAATGACCAGATTGTGGAAGTGGACGGGACCAGTCTGGTGGGTGTGACCCAAAGCTTTGCTGCTTCAGTCCTCAGGAACACGTCAGGAGTCGTTCGGTAAGAAAAACTCACTTCCAAATAAATTTGGTTCCTGTGAATTTATGTTAAGTCTCAAAAAATGTTTATGACTTTCTTAAACCATATATAAAAACCTATTTGCTAGAGAAAACTTTCAATTCAGGTTTGTTTTGTATTTGGATTTTCTGTTTAAAATAAGATGTAAGAAGCAGAAATATTATTTAGTTATCAATTTCTCTCTTTGATTTCCACATATAAGCTCGCCTTCGCAAATAATCCATGCTTAAACTATGGAAAAAAAGTAGAACACATCAACAACAAACAAATCAATTCATGTAATGCCTCACTACCCCTAAAACAAATAGGTGATTGAGCTCTTATAAACATTAACAGGGAGTCCAAATTTAAATTTAATGTGCATTTTCTCTTTTCCAAACTGTCAAAATTATACTCACGGGCTCAAGAACTTGCGTACACCCTCACCGATTTTTGGTGAAACGTCACGTAGCAAGTTGAAGAGAGAATACACGCTTTTCATAATGAGAACATTATCCGAGAATATTTCTGGTTGAGTACCTGGCCAATCTTCCTGCTAAAACTTCACAAACCGATTGGTTTCCTGGGAGCTTTTAAACATATTTCAGAAATATAAGGTCAGATTTGATTCAAAATCTCCTGGTGTGCCTCGTTGCTCATTAAGCACATGCCTTAAAGCCTGAATCAGCCATAGCTACCTTAGAAAACACGTGTTTGTCAAAAGAAATCTGAAAAATAAATTACTATCTATCTGAAACTTAAAAAAGCGATTAATTTATCTATTTATTTTGTTGTTGTTGTTGTTGTGCAAGAAAAATTCAATGATGAAGAGCCTAGGGGAAAACTTCACTTTATAATATATTTGTGACTAGTCTATTTTCATGTTTAATAAAAGAAAACGGCAGCCTGCCATATAGATTTGAAATGCTTTAAAATTACCCACGACCAGCAGGCGTCTGAACGCTGCAGCTCTGAATTCCTTTAGCCCTGCTGTCATGGTGCAGAAATCACAAAGCCACCCCTCAAGTCGCCATACTCGCTGTGAAAAACACACACGCACGCACACACGTGCACACACCAACACTCAAAGCATGGCAGGAAGGCTTTGATTTGAAAAGCTCAAGCTGTCCTTGGCAACAGCCTCCCATACCAGCCTCCAACTGATTCTTGTCTTTTATTCTCCTTTGGTTTGCTTAGTGTTTTTTCAACATTCGCGGTGGTTCCTAACCTCCTCTCCTCTCATTTCTTTTGTCTCTTTGACTCAGGCGTCCAAAGAAAAGTCCGACACGCTGTTTCTGCAGGTCATAGTTGAAGAGTTCTAGTTTGCTTTATGATTCATACAAAGATTTTTCTCACTTGAACCTGTAGACGCACTGTCATCTGGAGAGCTGTCCGCGTCGCTGTTAAACAACCGATCGGGTTTCGACTTCTACTTATATCTTAAATAGGGTGGAAATGTCGAAAGATGCATTATGTTGTGGAAATGCAGCCCTGGTAGAAAACCTGAAGACATGTCCACTAGTGTCACAGCACACTGCTGTCCCAGCAGATGCTGTTTGCTGAAATAATATTGACAGTGGAGGTTTTCCACACAGCAGGATGCGTGTGTGCGTGTGTGTGTGTCGGTGAGGCAGCCTTGAAAAGGTTAACATCCATCATCTGCCCGTCTATCCTGGTCACACAAATATGAAGAGATTAATAAGTGAAGAACTAAAAAGCATGCAGATTTTCAAACTGTAACTCTACGTCACTCAGGCAGCAAATCGTGATATTTAAAACCAGAATGTAGATATCATGTTGACAAGTTAGAGCAGGTTATTTCTGTCTCTCATTCCCCTGTGTTATTTCTGACCAGATTCGACTCTTGCATCCACCTCCTCACTCGCACTCAATATTCAATCTTCCTCCAACACATCTCACTCACTCTTCCTCCTCCTTCTCTTCCTCATCCTCGGTAAATCTGTCCCTCACTTTGTCTGATCACCAGAGGTTTCGTGGCCGAATGTCCCAGATTTTCCTTTTCAGCTAAATTTAAGCCTGGTTTTCAGCAGTGAAACATCCAGGTATTAGACAGAGCCTCTCCTTGCTTCACTGCTTAAATGTAAAATGTAGCTTAAATGCAGTTGCAAATCAGGTGGCATTTCTAACAGAAAGTAGTTGTAATAAAATGCACAACTGTATGCTGCAGAGGAAGAAACTGTTTTCAACCTAATTTATTTATTTATTTCCTGATTTAGCTCAATGAAAAAAAAACTGGTTTACATTGAGGATTACAAAGACCTCATGGCCTACTTGTCAGCCTGGGAAGAACACACATTTTTGCCAAGTTGACGTATTTTACTACATTTTGGATCATATTGAAGGAGTGCTAGACATTTATTTGAAGGAAGACATCTACAATATCTTCTATTCAGCCAACATCGTGCTATTCTATACAACAGAGCCATCCTTGTTTTAATTGGAGAGCAGAAATAAATCATTTCTGGCAGTGCGTGCAGTTCAGCTAATCCTGTGCCCTGTCTGGCTGTCTCAGGGCAGGAGGAGGCAGCTACAAACCGAGACAAACTCCACTCGCACGTGGAGAGAGGCTGTTTCCAGGTCATCTACTCCTCAGGCGTCCCCTGGCTGTCCGTGCAGGACCTCACTGTTCCACTGCCCTTTCTATCACTGTGGATTTTTCTTTTCTTCTCCATGCCCTGTCCTTCATTTGTTCCTTCACATGTAGATCAAGTGTGTCTCTCCTAGAGCGTAAGCCCTTTTCCTACCAGCCCCTAGAAATGTCTGAACAAGCTCAGGGGAAATGAATTCACTTGAATTGTTCCTATCTTGTATCCACTTTCCTTTCCTCCTCTCTCACGCACACCGGTTGGACCTCGCTCACACATGCACACGGACGCTTGGGCCCTGCTGTCCTCAACATTGGCTTTAATTATCGCTGTAAGGAGAAAAGAAAATGGAGATAATGACATTTTTCCCCTGATTTGTAGAAACAGCGCATGCAGTGAATCAGAAGGTTTAAGCTGGGGAACATGCAACATCCTATGATCTGGGAGCCAAAATGCAAACTTTTAGAAGGGTCGTTCTTTTTCATATTGAAGATTTGAGTTGGCTATTTGTTGTGTCCCTACAGAGGCACAGCCTGTTTTTTTTTTTGTTTTGTTTTTTTTCCATTGGTTTAAATCCCTGCCAGGCTAATAGCTGGCTGCCCTGCCGTGCTGACTGGCTTCGCACATTATCATGCACATCCAGTCCCCTAGCCTTACTCCGATACGTCAGCAAATATCGCTGTCATTGCTATTCGGCTTTGGGCCTCTGTTTCTCTCTCGTCGGCTGCTGTTGTTGCCTTGCCTCCCTGCACAAAAACACAACACAATCCAGGTCACCGGCACTTAACATGCGTGTCTGTTTACATATTCACGGGAAACACTATCAGAAATTGTCGACTGTATCCCCAGTTTTTCATTGTTTAGCTAGAAGGAGCTGAGTTACAGCGACTGATCCAGGTAGATCAAACTCCACTTAGATCATCTTAATCCCCTATCTAACAGCATGTGAAGATCACATTTTCTGTTTTGTTTTGCTTTTAGTTTTTGCTCTAAATTCTTACGTAATCAGGATAAAATCTAAAACAATATCCATGCTTGCCTATTGTGACATCACACAAGGTCTACGGTATGTTCATTTTGAAATGTATAATTTTCTTGTTTGTACTTCTTAGAGAACCAACATTATATTATATTATATTATAGTGATACATTTCTTTCTATGATGAAAATTCTGCTTTATTATCACAATAAATAACAAAAGTAATGATATCTAACCCCCCCAAAACTGTCCATATTGTCAGGAGGCTAGTTTTACTATTTTCTCCACTGTTTGGTCAATGAAAACATCAATAAATGTTAATTCATTTGAAAATATGGTTACACCAGTTATCATGGGTGTTCTGGTGATGCCAACCAAACTGCATTTTTTGATTGGTGTCCTAAAGACGCCTGTTGCAAATTTTTGAAGAGCAATATCTAAGTTTGTGTCGCCACGATTGCTGTCATGTCATGTTGTCACTGTCATACATTTAACAACAAGAGAAGCACGAAGTAGTTCTTATCGTCACTTTTACCGTTATCACAACATTGTCACAAAATTCTCTGGTAAAACGTTTAGTCCATATCGCCCATTCCATTCCATATAGTATCGTATCGTATCATATCGTATCGTATTATGTTACTTAACAACGCTTGTCCATGCAGCTTTGTGATTGGCCGAGAGCGCCCCGGTCAGCAGAGTGAGGTGGCCACACTCATCCAGCAGACCCTGGAGCAGGAGAGGAGGCAGAGAGAACTCCTGGAGCAGCAGTATGCCCACTACGACGCAGACGATGACGAGGTAATTACACATATCCTTACTTTCCCGATTGGTGTAATGTTAGCATCACACACACACAGGACTGGGAATCCTAGTTTGGATCCTGAAAGGCCATTTATTTTAAGTTCACACGCTCCCAACAACTCATGCAAGTGACAGTGTAATAAAAAAATGAGGCTTCTGGTTGTCACTTAATGCTAATCAGCTTCTTTCCCGTGGCAGCTGGCTTGAAGTATCAGCTTATTAGCTCCATAAAACTGAATGACAGTGTAGGCTTTTGATGCTAATGTTGAAAAACATGCTCTCTCACAGCCATGCAGACTAAGAGGATGCTCTGAGAGCTGCATCACTCAGCATTTCCCTCTGGTTCTGATGCGTAGTCACAGCACATTTTAATCCTCCAGACACTGAGCTCCCGGCATTGCAACTCATGTTATCTTTGGTTTTGAGCTAAATAGACACAGTTACACTTTGCTTCTGCATGAAATAGATCACTGGAAGAAGCAAAGATCAGTGCAAATGTAAAATGCATGCGGAAGAAAGGCTGCTGTCTGGTCGTGTTTCTGCATAGTGTTTTATCCATTCAGTGTGAAATCTTTCCTTCCCTGGTGATTGTTGTGTATAAAATGGTTTTGCTTTAAGAATCTCCTTTTCAGACTGTTGATGCTGAATCTAGCACTTGTGAAATTATAACAAGACATAGATACAACACTGCCAAGTGTCATTAAAGCTTCTGATTTGGCGATTAGCAGAAGGTTCACCAATCTGTGCGCAGTCAGACTTTTGCACCCTGAATATCTCTTTACATGTATTTCCCCCTCTCGATATGTCATGATGTGGTTGCACAACGGCTTTTGATAAAACAAGTTCAGATTTTTATTAAAGATTTCAGTCATTCCTGGCATGAAAATATACAGTGCCTTGTGAACGCGTTCATGGAAAACCTTCATCTAAAAATGATCAACTTCATTTTGTTTTACCTGATTTTTATGTGACAAATAAACTACAAACAGTACGTTATGTATTAATGATAGCTTTTGGCTAAGGAATAACTTAACCTCTTACCTATCATCCCCAAATAGCATATAAGTTGATGGATTTGTTTCGAGAGGAAACCATTGTCCTTGTGACAATTAAGAGGTTACTGTATAATTACGTCTCATTTACTTAAACTAAAACAATCAAAGTCAGAACCAGCTGAAAAGCTCCTTCTTCACTTAAAGTATCAGTGTCCAGAGTTTAATCCCATCGTTAGTACGGTATATGGGAATGTAATATAGGACGATGGCCCAGTAGCCACAAACCAATCAGACCGACCTCTGTTTATATGAATAGAGGATATAGGTGCAGGGAAGAGCAGGAAAAGAGACGAGGAGGCAATGTAGGTCAATATAATGAGACCGTGAATCATGCCTGTACAAGAGAAGAAAAATCAGAAGGAAAATTTAACCAACTGTGCACTACAGAGTGTATGTCAGGACTTTTTTAAGCTTTAGAGAAACATCACTGCAATGATTGGTCTCTCTTGGTCATCAGCCAAAAACTGAATCAACCCCTCCATTTTAGTGCGTAACAGTCAATGCCAATGTTCATTAATTTACAGGGTTGTTTTGAGAGGGACACAAAGAAACACAGTAATGGCTTACATAAATGTCAAATCCGGAGATGCATCTTAGTCATTTGAAAATATGTCCCTCCAGACGTCACTAGTTTTACCTTCTTAGTATCTTTGCGCTTGACATAATGTAAAAACCTTGACATTCGTATATGTCAAGAATAACATGATCACTGCTGACTCGTGGAATGTTATTTCATGATTCTTTCGCATTATTTTTCAAGCTTCTTTTTTTACACCAACGCACACTGCTAAACCATTACGTAACAGGCATTACAAGCCTGTGTGAAACTTGTGTGAAACTGAAACAGAGCTGAGTGCAGATTTAGGAAAAAACCCTTTACCATCAGCCCTTAATGAAAAACAAAAACAATGGGAACGTCCCTGTAATGGGACGTGTCCGGTGTGCCCAGTTCAAAGACTAGCTACATTTATTTCTATGTCTGAAGCAGTTTGCAATTTGTAGATAATGGCAGGTTTAACCTGCAACCTGAAGTGAAATCTTGCATAATTTTTGACAACATTCCTTCTTTTACCTATCAAGTCAAGTCACAATATGGGTCACATTGTTTAGCTTTAACTATGTTACAATTTCAGTGGGGTAGAGTATTGTACCCATATTTTAAGTCAACGTCACTTTAGATGTTTTTTGAGAGTTCCTAATGTTCAAAAAAGCAAATAATTTCCATGTAGCTTTATAGTACATTTTCCAGTCTTATTGATAACAAGGGCTATGAATACAATACATTTATTTATCTTTTTTCTTTTAATTTCTTCTAAAGCAGACAGGGGAGTACGCCACCGATGACGAGGAAACAGGAACGACGGCGGGTGGCGAGAAGAGCATAGAGGTGTTTGATCTGCCGGAAACGGAAGAGATCTTGTCTCCTTCAGAGTTGGACGCCACGAAGCTGTACCAGAAGTTCAGAGAGGTAAACCCTCTTTCTACAGTTAAACACTTACACAGTCAAATAAACATCTCTGAAGGCAGTTTGAAAAAATATCAGGGCACAGTTGGTTTTAATTCTTGTTATTGCTTTGTGGATAAATGTTAAGCCGAAGTAAATTGGTTTATCGGAAGATTAAATTAAATTAAGCAGCACAAGTTGATGACACAATGCTATGTTTTACTCTGCAGTGTTGTGCTCTTGCCAAGAGAGGCGATCTGCTTACCTTCTCAAATTCCCAGGTGGCTCATGAGCGATTATAGGTGTGAATACAGTCATCGCTACTAATGACCACGTTTAGTTGTGTCTCCCAGGAAAGAACGACGTTACTCCTCTGCACAATTTCTATCCAAGATCCAAAGAAAGAAGCGCTGCCTCCGAAATTTAAGCTCAACTGAAAAAAACCACGGCGATAAAACGGAACATTAATTTATTGTCAGGTAGCGCGGTCGCACTCTTTAGGCTGCTGAGTGGCTGATAATATTGATTGATCACTGCACTGCTGTGGCACATTTTTCTCTTTGTGAAGTTCCACAGTGGTTATATAACACGTTTAACAAATGGCTTCAACTGCACAGCGGGCGCTTCTGAGGAGACCAAGAGGAAAGAAAATTTAAAAAAACCTGCTCTCAGGGTTTTTCGCTTGTTCTTTTTGAATCCGTGTGCTGTATCTTTGCCCAACTCCTGCAGTGCATTGGTAATTACTTTAATCTTGTTTTTTTTTCTGCTGAGCTTAAGTTGCAACATTTTTATTGCAGCCCCAGACTTTACACCAAGATTTTACAAATGCTCCATCGTTACTCCCAATTCTGCTTTCACCCAAATATGCAACTCTGCCCATCCAATGTGTTAAAGATTTATATTTTAAAATCCCCCCGCTTTTAATGTTTCACTAGCTTGTTTTTTCTCCCCCCATTCTTTCCTCTGGGATGAAACGTCAAAGTGGGAGCTGGGAGGATAGGGTCGGCCGCCTCTGCCACTCAAACCGGATCGACAGCAGAGAGCCTGCGCAGCCATGCATTTGATTATCTGACCGCCATCTCTCTCCTCTCTGACGTTTCTCACTTTTGCCCTGCTTGGACTCTCTGCAGCTCCAGATCAAGCACACGGTGACAGAGGCCGAGATCCAGAAGCTCAAAAACAAGGTAAGAGATTGAAACCTTTGTGGGCTTAGTGGAGTAAGACGCTGAGGATTGTCAAAGTTTTGTTCTTTAGATGTGTGAGAAACACACAAATGCATTTGACTGTGCAGGTCTTTCTCATTCTACTCTTTGTTTTTTGTACATTATCTCTTTATTTATTGCTCCCAAGCATCGCTTTGGCAAACTGTGGAAACACAACACAGTTATTTGGGATTCTCTTCTGTCCCTAAATGCTAAAGTGTGCCGTTATTTCTGCTTTTGCCACTCATCTGAAAGCTTCAGCTCTTGCATGTATGCAAATTGATTTCAGTAATTCTTGAATTAATGAGGTGGCAGCTGAAGTGATCGAATAAAGTGGTGCCTGAAAAGCCTATTAACATGTACTGATGCTCCACTTTACCATTAAAAGTAAAGTGGTGTTATTTGAGCTTTCAGGTCAGATTTTCTTCACCTCCCATAACATCCTGCAGATTTTAAATGGCATTTTACATCATTTTCAGAAACATACCTGTCTTTACCGTGGCAGGAACTTTGATATCTCCTATTCAAGTCTCCAACACTTTCATTATCCTCACAAAATTATTTCAACAGAGAGGCTATGAGTAAATAATGTAAACAATGCTGTTTTTTGCCCGTCAACAGTTGGCCTCCGTTGAGAAGGAGAAACAGCGCTGGGAGAAGGAGAAGAGCCAGCTGAAGGCCAGCATCGAGGAGAACAAGGAGAGGATGCTGAAGTTGGAGAGCTACTGGATCGAGGCGCAGACGCTCTGCCACACCGTCAACGAGCATCTGAAGGAGGCCCAGGCCCAGTACCAGGCTCTGGAGAAGAAATACAACAAGGCCAAGAAACTCATTAAGGATTTCCAGCAGAAGTGAGTGAACACCGAGGAAACTCTTTCTAGATTTAAAACAAACCGTTTACGTCATCTTTTTGCTGAATTTTGTATTGTTTTCTTTTTATTTACAATTATTTATTTTGAGTTAATCAGACATGTCTAAATCTACTTAAAGTATTGAAATCTTTTGAAGTGTTTGCATTATGGAAAGAAAGAAAATTGGCTTAATGGGACGTTGTTTCATCCCTTTAAAACAGTTGAAAGGCACAGATTTCTAACTTCGCCTTCAACTTCATCCATCGTCTTTTGAGAAGCTTAACCTCTGATGAATTTTGAAATGCAACTGTTCTTAGCGAGCTCAGATGCCATAAAGTACTAAAAGTACTAATTTTATAAAAAAATAAAATCAGCCACACTTAAAAATCTGAAGGCAGCATTTTATGGTGCAAATATGTCAAAACTGTTGCATTAATTGATGTTTTGTGGAGCAAAGAGGAATGAAATCCAGGCTCAATATTCGAGTATTTTCACGTCTGTTATTTTGTGCTCGGTCATCCGAAACTGTCTCAAAAAATTTTAATTGGAGTCTGAAAACATTCCGGTTTTTGAAATGGGAAATGAGAAGAATTCAGAAAATGGAAAAACGTGTCTAAATCTAAGTAAGTTTAAAATGAATACCTCCAGACTTTAAAGCTGACTTGCATCCCATCTCTGTTGTGAGAACCATGAGCCCTGGACCACTCGGGCTCGCAGTCTAGTGCACTCAGACCTTCCTGCGCTTCTGTTCCATAATTCTTTCAGTCAGTCCCATCAGAACCTCTACCGCTCAGAACCACTCTGAGGGACTCTAATTGGCTCGGCCTCTGCAGGCCAAATGGAAGCAAATTGATGAAGCAAAACCCTCCATGCTCATCAGCAGCAGAGCCGCAGAGTTGTCAGAACAACGGCAAAGCAAACAGAGTGGGAGGAAGAAGCCATTCGTTCCTTCGAGAGGTGCACCTCGTTTGTTGTGTGTGATTGTATAATATCTTGCTGTATTGCTAGTTGCTCTGAAAGCCTAACTTGTGTAAAGAAAAAAATAAAATAAAAGCTCCTGTTTTCACTTGTTAATACACAGCTACCGGGCACCCTGCCATTTGCTTCTTGTACTTCCAGAGAGGTGGAGTTCATCCAGAAGGAGGATGCAGAGAGGAGGCGACTGGAGGAGGCTGAGAAAGCTCACCTGGCTGAGATCCAGGGACTGCAAGTTAGGGTAACAGGACTATCTCCATCCGTCTTCTCTCATCTCTGTCGAAGAAAATGTCTTAATTTCGATAGAAGTTTGTGTGCATAAATAATTAACAAGCAATGAGTCTCGGTTTTCTTTTCATCGTTACTGCGGGAGTATTAAAAATTTTTTGTGTAACACTGATGGAAGGTTCTGTATCAATATATCTGATCAGGTGGCCCACCGTGTGATTATGTCACAGTAATAAATACATGACTACGCCAGCTATTCATATTATGTGTGTGTTGTTTCTTCTTTTCCTGCCCTTGTTTTCTGTGTTTTGTTATTTTCTCCACGGCTGAATGGACAGTCACCCTGAATACCCCCGTCATGACTCTGCACACTGAATCCATGTCCCTACTGTCCTGCTGCGGCGCATTGTAAAAAATGAACATTGAATATTAGGCCAAGAACAAAAACTATTAATCTGTTCAGTGTTTCTAAGCAGACTGGGGGGGGGAAATTTAAAAAAAGGAAAAGTCTGGAATTCATTTAAATTATGTTCATGTCTTGAGTGTGGAAAAATCTTTGCTTTTCCAGGCTATTTTTACTCTCTTGCTTTCTAAAAGTTCAGTCCATCCATTCATGTCTGTGGATCCGTCCATAAAACCATTTTTTTCTGTTGGTTTGTCCGTTCATCTGTGCTCAATTATTTTTTCATCAGTTTTATTTGTCTGTTCATCCATCCCTCTTGTGTTTTTTGCATGTTCATGTATGTCAAAAATTGTATCCAGAGTGAACTTCATAGTGAAATCTGATGAAAAATAGAAGAAACGTAGATCTTGTAATATGGAAATCTGGAAGAAAAACTAATTTCAGATATAGCGCGAGCTCAGCTCATCTTCTGCAAACGATTTCAAACCAATCAAAACCCGAGTAACGTTTATTTCGGAGCTCTAAGGACTGGTAAAAGCCCGCAGATCATTAATGTTGATCGGTGCCTCTCTCCTACAGATTGCAGCACTGGAGTCTGAGTTAATGCAGCTGATGAAGCAGAACGGCATCCAGGTCAACAACAACAACAGCAACAGTTCTGAGAGGCTCAGCGCTCAGCAGCACAGCCCGAGCGGAGCTGCGGCTCAAGCTAGAGGTCTTTATGGGAGGGCACTGGTTTCCACTACATTTTACTACTTTTTCCACCTTTAGCACAAACTAATTTATACTCCTGGGAAATTAAGACTTAAAATTCTTTACGTTAAACCAAGAAGTTTGCTTTTAGCAGAATCAGACACATTTCTCTACAGATAAGTCACTGAAACAGGGCCACTCAAAAAAATTTATATTATGTTCAGTTGGGAGAAAAAAAACAGTTCCTCCCTATATATATATATATATATATATATATATATATATATATATATATATATATATATCTATATATATAAGAGGATTTTAGTTCAGTGATATATATATATATATATATATATATATATTATATATCACTGAACTAAAATCCTCTTAAACCTTGTAGAAGCATATTTTTGATGTAACGATGACATATTTAAACTATTGGCCACAATTTGCCACTGTAAATTTAAAATAGGCAAGACAGGTTATCTTTGATGTCACTTAATTAGTGAAATGGAAAGTGAATTTTTTTTCTGTTCTCCTCTAACACATCTCCTGCAACTCCAGTGTAGCAGCTCGACTTTGCACGTTTTAGCAGACCAGATATCCGCCTTCGGTACCAATCGTTTTGTTCGGCCTTACACCGAAAGCGGACACGCGTCCATCCCCTGACCTAAAGCTCACTTTAAAACTTCCCGCCAACCAAAACAATGGTGTAATCCATGTTTAAGCACATCTGTCCGACTTTCTTCTCCTGGAGTCTTTTTAAGCTCCGCTGGCTTTGTTTCAGTGGTTACATCTGTCATAGCAGAGTCGGCTCTAACAAGTGCCACGTCTGATGGGGTTAGAGTGATTGGATCTGAGCCGATACGAACCAGGCGGCACTCTGCAGGAGGACAGAGCCGAAATGTGACAAAGAGAAAAAGACGCCCTCTGTTGGCACATGTGCTACTAGCACTTAAGGGATCAGTAGACTAAAGAATTATTTAAAACTCTGTTAATAATTCCAATGAAGCTTTTTTAGTTTCACTCAGCTGACGTGTTCTTTAATGATGTGAAAGTTCAACGGTGCATCAACACGGTGGACAGAAGCTTTTCATAAGAAAATCACTGTTTTTACTCTGTTTTCTGTTTTCGGTGCTACTCTAGAAGTCGACGAAGGATCTTCCCACTCATCCAGCATAAAGACAGGCTGCACAGGAGACGGCGTCAGTTTCCAAGAGGGACAGGTTTGTATAAGCAAACGCTGTCATTTGTCCTCATCATCGCAAGAGTTTTATCTAGCGGCACCTAGAGAATTGATCCACCAAATGATCCACAGCCATTCAAGCTGCTGAATTGCTGCACGTCTGTGTCTGTCGTCTCTCATTAGAATAATTTCTGTGTATAAATTTGCTGCTTTATTGAAGTGTGTGACGCTGTCACAGCTTACTGTCCTGCCCAGCGGGATAATAACATCAGCAATGAGTTTTTTTTTTTTTTTTCTGGATGCTGGCTAAAGCTGTCACTTAGCTCAGCGAGAGCAGGAAGGAGTCCAGATTAAGGGAGCAAGTGGAGATGAAATCTGGCAGGAACACAGAAGCAAAGGCGCCTACATAGAGAAAAAAAAGAGGACAAGAAATTGGACATGGGGGGGAAGTATGTCAAGAGACTTCTGTCAGATTAGTGTGCAGCCCTAGTTGTTTGGATCAGATGGTGCATAAGTGTATCTTGTACCAAACATCACTATTTTCTCCATTTAGCCTTATATCATCATTCTTTAGTGACCTACTTCCGTCTTTATTGGTGTGTCTTCAGATTTCTGAGGCACTTGGTAGTCCAGCGCGTAGTTGCTTTGGATCGGTTCGCTGCGATTCGAAAGACGGTTCCCCCAGGAAAACACAACATGGTCAGTACATCTGCTTCTTCATCTACTGGTGTACTTCTTTTGGGTGTCCCAATATTTGGATTTTTCTCATTTCAATATACATTTTTCGCAGGTTCTCAGTCAGTTGGAAAGTCAAGCCTGGACGAACACAGACAAGCTCCAGACCCTGGGTAAAACAAACAAAAGGAAAATCTTGTTTGCTTCATCATTTTCCTATTATCTTTTACTGTTGCAGAAAATAATAAAGAATAAATCAGGTTAGTGTTTTTAGGAAAGTCAAAGCAAGCAAAACGTGCAGATGGAAAATCTGGTTCAGGAGAGAATTGGGGAGAAAACATCGACCAAGGAGATGTGTTGATCAGCAACAGAGACCTGAAAAGTCATGAACACCGATGATGAACATACATGGCGACTAAGAAATTAGTAAATAAATAGCAACTGCTGAGAGACAGCAGGAAATTAAACAGAAAGCAGATTGAGCAGAGTAAAAACTACAGCTTTTTATGAAGAAATTTATGCAAACCCTGGGGCGATTTGCATTGTGGCATAAATATTGCCAAACTTTGTTGATATGATAAAGTAATCACATAAAATGAAACTCTGAAGATCTCATCTCATCAGCTGTTCAGTATTTCTGTAAATCCATCTTGTTTTGTTTATCGCCTTGTTTCTCTTCCAGTTCCACAGAACCGTCAGCAGATGGCAGTGTGCCGAAACCAAGGGACAAGGTAAATGAGCTTTCCTCTGTTCTACGGAAACGACGAATCATTGTTCTTTTTGCAACCAGGCACAAAGGACATTACAAAACAATTTTTATTTGTGATATTATTAATTGAACAAAAAGAGGCCTGTTTAGGTTTTCTAAAACTACCTTAATCGATATTTTTAAGCCAAAATTACATCAGCTCTCTGCACACGTTTGGTGAAAAATTAAAAACTCTTTTTATTTTTGCACTAATCCATTGTTTTATGTCTGTTAAACAGAGCTCACTTACATGGCCCCAGTTCTTCTCCTACTCATATTATGTGGTATTGTATAGGATCATGATTTGTTATTTATATCCCTATCCACTTAAAAGGGGAATAAGATGTTTCTCTGTGGGGTAAATCAGAGACGAATCATTGCATAACCTTAAACGAATCATTATCTACAAACAGAATCAGTTATCAACGCTTTAATTTTGCTCATTGTATTATTGTTTTTATTTTTTTTTTTGCATGTGGGACTTTGCAACAAAACAATTTCTATCGGACGTGAATAATATATTAATGAAGGAGACTAAGTTTTTGATCCTGAACAACCTCCGTCCTTTTCTCTCTCTTTCTCTCTCTTGAGGACGAGCTCATCTAAAGATGAGTGTAAATCAGAAGATAAATCAAAGCAGAACTTATGTGCAAATGAGAAGCTTTTAGGGGAAGATTTAACTTACAGAGCTGAGAGTCTTAGCCCGGGAGATTAGTCTGACTTTTAGCTCAAATGCTGCCAAGGCTCAAATAATCCCTCTAAGCTGCAGAAGACAAAATCTTTTTATTACATTTGATCATGACAGTCTTTGAAATCTGCTCTCAGTTCAGGAGTAATATCAATCCCAGGGCTGAATAAAACCATTTAATTTTTCAGGCTTCGTCTAATGATATAATGTGTCATTTTTCTTTATAATAGTTTGCTTTCTCTCCTAAAAACCCCCCACATATTTATGTTTATTTTCAGGGCCTCGCGAATAGCCATTTCACATTTTGTAATAGTCCAGTGGCAAACTCAATATATGTTAAATAAATAGTGTGTTATAGATGTACACAAAGTAATGCTAAATAGGAATTGGAATGAAAATAAGAACTGGTTCACATTTTTTGTGTGTGGGTGTCATACATACACTGTTTGAGGCGCGTCTCTGTCAGCTAAAATGTTCTGTCAGTTCTTTAAAAACAGAAGAAAAGTTCGACCTGCATCAGGTGGGATGAAGACAGTCTGTAAACAGTCTTGCCACACAATTTCAGTTGGATTTAGGTCTAGACTTTGACTGGGCCATTCAGCCGGGATCATTTTTCTGCAGGAAGGCAAACCTTGTCTCCTTTCCAGCCTCTCACAGCCATCAGCTTGTATTTGAAATGCATAAGGGTAAAAATCCTTACATAAATAAACCATTCAATAACAATGAAATAGAATGTTTAGAAGCATAAACAAACAAAGATGTTATTTTTCTTCTCTTCTGTAATGATGCCATATGTTGTGATGGTGTATAAAGCAAAATGAAATATACTTTGTGGTTTATTGCGATGTGACCAAAAGTTCAATGGGATGGGAATATTTTAGCGGAGCACTGTAGCGACACATGGAACAATCTGAATTTATTTGTACTTTCAGTTCATTTAGGAAGCTTTCATCAGAAGACAATTGTTTATCACCTGATATGCAGTTGTGCTGATTTCCCCCCTCCTCATTTCCAGCCGCGCATCCTTGATTCGACTATCCACTCACTAATGCTACATCGAGTTACTTTACACCAATAACACTGCACCGAACCAGCAGTAAAGCTAAAATACTCCAGTTAATCAGCTAAATTCTGTCTCAAAGCCAGTTGGCTCCTGTTGCAAAATTCACTAAGTGCAATTCTGACTATACAGGCGCCAAACGTTGGCGACGACCTGAGCGCCAGCAGCAGCAGCAGCTCGGTGGAGATCAGTGGTCTGCTCAGCGCCACCAAAGTGTCGGGGCGCTCACACACCCCAGTGTTGTCCTCGGATGAGGTAAAAAAATACACCTGGAAAATACTCTCTTCCTCTTTGGAGGAAGATTGCTTGAGGGCGTGTGTGTGTGTGTGTGTGTGGTTTTTTTTTTAGATACTCTTCTGTTTTTGCAGTTTAACTAATTTCTGCTCTGTTAACAATACTAGTCCTGTTTTTATTTATTTTTTTCTGCTGCGATGTCCAGAGTCTGGATATGATAGACGATGAGGTGAGACTAAAGCTGCTGGCCTGTAGAGCTCATGCGTGTTGTTGTGTCCATATTGTGCTTGAACAATGTTTTTTGTGAGTGTGTGTTGTGTTTTGTGTTAATTTAACTGCTGCTTGTTTCATCTGGACTCATTTTTAATCCCGTTTTGGTTCATTAATCTTTTTGCATCTAATCCGCTTCTATATCGTGTGAAATGTTAGATTTTTGATGAAGCGCAGTCTTCGAAGCAGCACGAGTGGCAGAGCCGCAGCATTACGGACTGGACCTCGCAGCAAGTGGCGCGCTGGCTCACAGGCCTCAATTTAGAACACCATATCCCAGAATTCACTGCCAAAAACATCGACGGGGAGCAGCTGCTGCGGCTGGACAGTGCTGAACTCAAGGTGACTTTGTGTTTCTGGCCTAAAAGAACATTTTGACAGGAAGCATAAATGCATCAGTAGTATGAGAATAACAAAATATCAAATGAATTCATGTCCATTTCAATCCCAAAGCAGTTTTATTCAAGATAGAAGTTTTCATGCACTCATTATGGGAAGGATTATTATTCAGGTTTGGTGCATTTATTGTAAGTTTGTCTAATGGGGACAAGGTCAACATGATATACACAAAGCCTGACAAATATTTTGATCAATATGTAACACATTCCAAGACAGATAATTGTCACAGAGGAGTTTCCAGATCTAGATAATCCATCAATAAACCTTTGGCATATTTCTGGAGGAATTGACAATCGTCCCTAAACCATCCATAATGTATGTTGGAGTGTGTTCAAATATAACCTCTGAGTTGAATTCAAATGGAAGAATCTGGAGAATCTGTCATATATGTATCTGGAAATTTTTTTTTTTCTATTTATATTTTGATCATTTTATTATTTCCATGTTTTTGTCATTTTAGTTTATTCTTTGTGCGCTTTAATTTATTCTTATTGTTTATGCTTTGGATTTATTTTCTTTGAATGGCGCGTCTTTTTGTTTACTGTTCATATTGGTCTCAGGTTTTCCCCTAATGTTCCCCCTTCCCAGCTGCATCCACTTACCTGTAATTAGCTCTTTTGTTCCCTTTTATAATTTCCACCCCTCTCGGTATTTAAGCTCCTCTCCCCCATTTTGAAGACACATTCTGTGGAGTCACAAACATCTGTGCTGTCACACAGCACGATGCTGCCACTACCATGCTCGAGAATTAACAGAGTGCCTTGACACGAGTCATTCAAACCGTTTCTAGTCACCGCAGCGTAATCGCTCCGTGTTTGTCTCATTTGACCATAAAATGTTTTTCCCCAGAAGGGTTTTGGTTTGTCTACATAAGTGGACACAAATTTCAGTCAAGCCAGAAGCTTTTTTCGTTGGTTGCCACGTCACAGTCATGGAAAAACTTGCTTAGCTCGGGAGAGTAACACTCATGCCCCGTCATCTTCCAGTTTCAAATAATATTGAGCCAAATTTCCTTCGTCTGCCAGTGATGGCTAACCCAACGCAATCGTGTGAAATTGTATAGCTTTGAATTTTTTGACATGACTTTCTTCTTTTTTTTTTTCTTTAAATTGATGAACAATGCTAAAACGTTTCTGGAACAGTTTCCCCAAAGCCCCAAAATTAACACTAATAAAAATTTATAAACCATGCATAAATGTTGGATCCATGCCTGGAAACCAACCAGTTTAAATAAGCTCTACTAATTCTTTCCAGAGCCGTAACAGAGTTCTGCCCAAACTTTATTGATGCCACATTTCTTTCGATCGCTGTGTAATGAATAGTTTATGGTAGACAATGTATTTATACACATGTTGGGTGTTTGAAAGCTTTTGTTATAAACAGCATTTCTCCACAAGCCGAATTTTAAAAAACAACGTTTCGATTAAGCTGTATTAAAAGAACTGACAATCTCAGGTTAAAAAAAAATAAACCAATGTTCTTTTTTGTTGTTGTTTTTTTCAGACTCTTGGAGTGACTTCTTCCCAGGACCGCTCCCTGATCAAGAAAAAAATCAAAGACCTCAAAGTTCTGATGGAGAAGGCCCGGCGCAACCAGGAGAAAGTGGAGAAACAACGTGAGAAGATAAGGAAGAAAGAGCTGGAGCAGCAGCAGCAGAAGGATGCATGCAAAGAAAGCTCCACGGTGTGAAAAGAACCCGACCTGTTGTTGTACTGTAGCGCCACACGGAGCAGCATCTCGCGGAGCAGAAGGTCAGCAGGTCCCTCGTAGAAACCCAGCGGGACGCCTGCTCTGTAGTTCTCAAAGTTGGAGCTCCACAGCTGACCGTCAGAAGGGGCTGAGTGATCTATTCCCCCGGCATACCAAAACTAAAACTAGCTTTTGGTTGGTGGAATCCTGCCCGTCATTTTCCCAGTTTTCTCCCCCGTCCATCCTGTAATTTCACCCTTTTTGACGAGTTATTAAGTTCTATTTATTTTGCTGTTTATAGCTGTAAATTGGGTTTTATTTATTCATTCATATCCAGAGTCAATCTGTGATGACGTTCATCTCATCTTCCTCCCATATCATCATAGACAAAACACGTGTTCATGTACAGCGATAAATACAAATGCAGATTCGTCTAACGTGCCATTTTAATAGACTTGTGAAAACCTACATGAGCAGAATCTACTGTTTTTGTGAAGCAGGTTAGGTCTGCGAGGTCGATTTTAAAAGGACATCCCTCAACTCCCCCCCACTGGGTGTCTCCATGACGCTCATTTCTTCCACCCAAGGAAGCAGAACAGAGAGAGAAGAAGATCTGTTGGAGAACACTGGAAGTGCAAACACTGGAAATGTTGACATTATACGCCGAAAAGCAGCTTGACTGATAAAAGACGTACTGTATTCACCGGACTGGGTTTGTAAGTGATTTTCAGGTACTGTGCAAGCAGTGAATTTGTAACCTAATCTAATCCTCAAGAAGCTCATTTACTGAAACTTCCTTCTCATATGCATAATGTTGCTCCGACTCCACTAATAACCTGCTTTCGACCTCCTTTTGTAAGTCGGTAATAAAGTTAAACCCCGCTGCTGCCTTTAGACATGCTAGAGTAGTTGAATACTTCCTGAGCTCTCCCTGCTTCTGTGTGCGTGTCGAAACAAATGCTAAGCTAATTCTCTTATATTCTTTCTTGTTGTTCTTTTTGATGGTTCACATGCAGATATCATACCTGACACTGTAACGTTACACTGGTCGCCAATTTCAGGCGACCAGTTTTTCTGAAGCTCCATCAGTCAACGCCAAATTTAGCTGTGTTCAAATTTGAAAATGTAACAGCATTTTAAAGAGTTTGATAAAGCTTTGATAATGTTGATCACCATCAGAGCTGTTCTATTATTTTAAGACAGAAATAAAATGGTTTATTTTTATTTCTCTTAACATGCACAGCTAGCATGTTTCGTTTTACAAAAATAGCAAACTTTAACGTTAACTGTTAGCGCACACTAACAAAACATCTCCAAATTCAGAATATTGAATGACAGAGAGTGAAAGCAGCTTTGCAGTGCATTTACCCTTCCTGTTACATGCTGAAAGTTTTGCTCTCTCTTGCAGCTGGACATGCTGTAGAAAAAAACCCTGATTTCTGCAGGATCTAAAAATAATCCACATTTCTCTAGATTTGACTTGAATCTACATATTTCAGTGGTTTACTAAAACGCACCACTAAGTTTGAGACTAACAGTAAGTAAATTGTTGATATTTTAGGACTGTAGCTACATGTCTGCACAAAAAACATCAACTTTAGTTGCTAAAGTTCCATTTTTTTTTTAAAATAAATATAAGCTTTTAGGTAAGTATGTTGAGCTGACTTACGTAAACTTTTCTTTGTACAAGTCAATGTATAATGGTGTTAAATTGATTCTACAATGATATTATTGTTATCGCAACCTGGTAACAAGGCAACACAAGATATTGTGAATTCTCCAACTGGAAAAAAATTGGATTTTTGAGTTGGTTGGAAATCCCTTGTGACCAATTAAATTCTGATTCCTGTCACTAGCCATTCTCTCGGTGCATCTCTAACATCAATGTCTTACCATATTCTGTATCTCATACAGCTGAAACCATAACCAACACTTGTTAAGTTGCTTTGCAGTTATTTAAAATGTTATTTAAGATTATGAAATGTATGTTTCTTGTTTCCAAAGGAACATTTTGTAGGATTTGCGCCACATGATTGGAGAAAGCCCGTTCTGCTCAAGAAGCCTTATTGACTTGCTGCTAACAGATTAGGAACAGGCAATGTCCCAGCATCACCAGTCACTATTATTTATCTCTTCATATATTTTACTGAGTATGTATCTGTTGCTTTCTTAGCTTATAAAGATAAAGAGTTTTATTAACAGCTAATAATGATTTATCCAGAATTGTACGAATATACCCTTTTTCCAGATCATGTATGAATCCTCCCATTAAAACTCTAACGGAAAATGAAAAGTTCATCCAAAGAGAGAAGGACACACAGTACTAATTTCCTGTTGTGCTTGTGGTTTTCTTCTCTTGCAACCACAATGCTGCTCCAGCGCTACTGCTAACGAATAATTCCTAGAAAACATTTTGTAAGCCTCTGTGAATACACAGCAAACTGGACTCTTTGGACTCATTTCTTTTGTATGTACAGTTAAACACTAAAAGCAATATGGCGTAAGGATACTGCAGAAGCCTTGTTTTATATTGTGTCAGTGTGTTTGCGCAGTTCGTCAGAAGCTTGAGGAGACCCCGAGCCACCAGCGGGACTCTTTATCTTTTCTACGTGTTTGATTGAGCTTGCCTGGGCTGACTCATCCCATGCATGGATGAGGCCCTGGTGTTCCTGGCAGGCCAAAGAAATGCAGATGGTTCAAGTATTGATCTGGAAGTGTTTGTCTTTTTGTGTGCATCGAGAGTGAAAGGACTTTGCCACCGACAATAAGTTATGCTTTTACCCTTTTGTCTTTGCCCTGCTCTTATTTTTGTTTATTTTTTATTTTTTGCATTGAGCAGAGTTTGAAAGGGTAGCAACCTGTCACGCTAAATAAAATGTGCAGTCATTGTCCACAGTTTGCCTTGGTTATTTCTTTGTTCCTCTTTAATTATTTTTGATTTTCTTTGAACGTAAACAGTTTTATTAATCATAAATATCCTGTTTGTTAAAAATCAGTTTTTTTATGTGTTACAGTTTTAAAAGAAAACATCTGCACAGTTAAATTTGATGAATACATGTCACAAACAGAGATGTATAAAATATTAATGGAATAAAAGACTTGGTGATCACAAAATGCGATTGATTCTGGGAGTTCTGGATATGTTTTGTTCTAGATAAACAGAGCTGGGAGCTTTGTATTTCACAGTACTATCTTTTTTTTTTAACATCTTTTACTAATTTTTTAACTGTAGACATGGAAAATTTTAATCAATTTCTTGAGGCTGTATTGTGACCGTGTGTTGCGTCGTCTTTCACAATTTGAACATTAGCTTTCTGTGTCACGTTACATTTATATCCTAATGAAACAGGAAATCATAGATGACTTGGTAAAAGCTTCTGGACACTAATCAAGTTAAAAAGAAAGTATAATAAACAAAACAACAACAGAAGCCACTTTTGTTTTGCAGGAATTGTTGGGGGTGCAAATAATCTGTTTTTTTTTTTCTTTTTTGAAAAAAAAAGAAAAAAAAAGTGAAAAAATTACCAAAAAAAATTGTTCTAAAGACATTTCCGAAACTTTAGCTAGAGGTTGCTGTATAGATTTCAGATAGAAACAAAATGCTGAGTTTTCATTGCTAAATTACTGATGTGCAAGTTTGGTGCCTTCTGATTTTTGAGATATCAGTAAAATACTTTTTACCAGATAAGATCTCCACAGAAAATAATCTGGTTAAAGTAAAAAAAAAAAAATTAAATATATCATCTAAGTTCCCCAGAGGTCTTAACATACTCAGAAAGGTGGTTATTTATACCACTGAATGACAGACATCTCAGCCGAACAGCTGTTCTACGATGAGCAGGCACCGACCTTTATGCTTTCTATTTATGTCTCGCGTCAGGAGTCACTATTTTCTCCCTGGTGACGACACGCTGCTGCCGCTCGCTTCCCGTCTTCCTCGACTTCATTTCCGTCCTCCTTCCCCAAACAAGTCCCATGGCTGGGATCTAATGGTTGACATGCTTCTTGATTCCCTTATTGCTACTGTTTGTATGATCATATCCAACCTCATACATGCTTTGTGGAAAATAATAGACTCTGACCCTATTGATTTGGGAGGACAGAGAGACTTTCTGCAGGATTACATGGAGGAATTGAGCTCCAGACAGCTGGCAGTCAAACAGCTAAAGGAGAAGTTCCTGAAGGCCCTGCAGGAAAACAATGCTGAGGAAGTCCTGCAGATTCTGAACACTGGCAAACTTGATATTGACACAGTGCTGGAGGTGGAGGATCCCAATATGGCATTGGCCTCTTATAAACAGGGTAGGTAAAAATGACATTTTCCTTATTTCCCTCCATAATAATAGTATTGCACTAGTTTAACCACTAGGTGGTGCTAACAGCCCTCAAACATTAAATCACCTGAAGTAAATATAGTAATTAAAACTTTAAATGAGCTTTTTTAATAACTCCTAAAAGCTCTACTGACTTTTTTTGTTCAGGATACTGGCTGCCAGGCTACAAGCTGGAGAAATCCTGGGCGATGGGTATCCATTTGTGTGTGATGTACAACGCCGTGGAAACAGCGCTGGTCCTCCTCCAGAAAGGTGCGGCCATCAACCACATGCCCAATGGGAAGACGCCCCTGCATGTGGCCTGCGAGGTCTCCAACAGCGACTGTGTGGCCCTGCTCTTGACTTATGGGGCAAAGGTCAACAGCCTGTCGCTGAGTGGTCACACTCCTTTGCACTACTGCATCACCAGGGAGTCTGTGGAGTGTGCCAGGCAGCTCATCCTCAAAGGTAGAACTGCGAGGGTGCATGCGGGTGAACCGGCCTCGGAGTAAATGAAAACGTTCATTCACTGATAAGCGTTGCTTACGAAGGTGCAAAGGTCAACACAGCCAGCCACAACAACGAGGAGGACACGCCTTTGCACACAGCTGCCAGATTTGGGGTTCCAGAACTGGTGGCGTTGCTTCTGACGCACGGGGCCTCCGTGAACGCCCTCAACGCTCTCCAGGAGACCCCCTTAATGACGGCAGCCTTTTGGGCTTACGACTCCAAGGAGCAAGTCTACAGCCAAGATCATCATTTCGTTTGTCGCCTTCTGCTGGACCACCAAGCGGGTGAGCGGTTCTGGATCCCACTTCAAGGCTGTAACGTCTGAAAAGTCTTTTTTTTCTTCTTGTTCTTCTCCTACCTTTCTGTTGCAGACCCCAACCTGAAGGAAGAGGATAATAAAACAGCTCTCCACATGGCAGCCTGGAACTGCGATCACGTCCTGATGCAGATGCTGCTGGAGGCTGGAGCGGATGTTCGAGCCATGGACATCAACGGATGTGCTCCCATTCAATACGTCCTCAAAGTGACTGGAGTCAGGCCTATGGCCATTCCTGAGGTCTGCTTTCAGCTTCTGCTGAACTATAACGCGGCGCGGATCTATCCTCCGCAGTTCCACAAGGTACCAACGCGTGCGGAAGTCATGTCCCTTTCATGTTTATGTTTTACGATTTTATGTCAACAAGGAGTGAAGTGGACGGGAGGGAATACATGTTTTTCAAACCGTTCACAAAAAAAGGGACAGGCTGAAATTTGAATGACAAAGTGTGGAAATACATTTTAAGGCTACGGATGACGGGTAATGTTTTTGACAGGTACTGCAGTCCTGCTATGACTACCCCCAGGTTGTAGAAATTTTGGTGAACTCCTATGAACATTTAAAACCTACAAGAAAGTGGAGAGCGGCTATTCCCGATGACTGCTATGAGGTAGACCGGTCCTTCTGAGCCGCATATGCAGCCTCCTTCTTAAATGTCACAAACTCCGCTTTGACTTTGGGTTTCTTTGTTTCGGCAGCGACATAAAGACTTCTACGACTCGATGTTTGCCGTTTGCACCAACACGCCACGCAGCCTGCTGCATCTCACCAGATGTGCCGTCAGAGCCGGACTGCGAGGGTTTTGTCAGCAAGGAGTCGATCAGTTACCTCTGCCATCGACTATGAAAAAATATTTATTGTTAGAACCTGAGGGCATACTTTACTGATGAAGAGGCTTTTAAAAATATTTAGCTATGTTGCTGGGATGATGATTTTTATGAAAGAAGGTTTAAATCTGATAATGTTTCTGTTTGTATCTATGAATGTAATGACCAATGAGGAAATCGATCCCCTTTCTTTGATTCTTTCACCTCCCTGCTTTAATGGGCCTTTTTTAGTTTGGCCTGTACTCATTTTCAGTTATCCTTTTCCTGCCTTATTTTTCAGCAGTGTTGACCAATGTGGCTTCAGGCTGAAAGCGCAGCAACACGCTGACAAGGATCCAGCGCTACCCAGCAACTGGCTAGGCCCAGTTCGCACTCTCAATCTCATGATATTCCTATTTCAGCACAGCACTCTCGACTGATCACTTCACAATAAGTGTTTGTTTTTCCACCGGGCTGCATGCCCGGTGACCAGGCCTGTTTCTTTTTTTTTTTTTCTCCAGTTTTCTCACCAACAAAAAGTTCATCTGTTCAACCTCCCTCTTCAAAACATGTTCCAGTTATCCATACCGAAAACTGTTCCATGTTAGATATACTATCAGATAAGGATAAAGCAAGTAAACACAACGATGATTTTGTTGATTAAAGAAAAAGAAAAAAAAACTATTCAAATCTGATGGATCCTATGTAAAAATAAAATTTCTGGTCTTGTATAATTTCCAACTATGATTAACTGCACTTTGTTTAGTCGAATTAACACCCAGGTCTGGTTACTGTTTCACCAGTAACATCAAGAAACCACTTCCATAGATCCCATCAGACAACATGCAGGAAGCTAAACAATCTCAACCGTTCTTTATGACCAGGAGCCCACAGCACCATGCATCCTATGTAGCGTAAAGAGGTAAGTAAGTTTTTTTTTTTTAAATCTCTTAAAGGTTTGGTTTACAATTATCACACAACAGAAATACAGCTGATTTTGTTTTTACAGTCTCTGTGGGTTTGATCTTGCAAAGGAAGCAAATCTGGTATTTTTAAATAAGTCACAAAAAAAGAAAATTGCTATTCTAACCACCTAATATTTTATCTTGTTTTTCCAATGCTAATCAGAGTATTTATAGACATAAGTATTTCCTGTTGCATGGACGAACCAAACACTGCTTCACAGAAGTCCTTTATCACCAACCAGGTTTATACTGTTGAGGACAATCTACCCGATCATAGGTCACGCATAATGATAGGCGGGTCTCTGACTTCTATTTTAAACCTTAATCCGGCGCTGATGTGTTTGTGCATCAAAGAACCAAGGCTGGCGGAAACTTTGCAGACTTTGCAGTCTTGGAAGCGCAGCTCTTTTGGTTTTGCTTGTCAGGACAGCCCAGGAGCAAACATGTCTCCGCCTATTAAGCAAACACACTACAGAGTCAATACCAAAACGTCATGAACTCACATGTTCTCTTGCTGTATGTGAATCAGCTGCGACTTGCAACAGCGCCGCACTACCGTTTTACGGTATGAAATTATGTAACATTTAATTTGCGGGGAAAGAACTTGGTGGTCTTCAAGCTCATAACAAAGCAGGGAGCCAAAAGAAAAGTGTCTTGTAGTGCCAGATCAGAGAACACTGTCTGCATGACTAAAGTGTCAGACCTAAAATAAACCAATGACTGCCAGCCACACACAGACACTCCTTCTAAAACGCGATAAGGGGAAAATTGAGTCATTCGGTTGCATTCAGAAGCTCAGGGTAGAAAGATTATACAGCAAATTCAATTACTGATAGAAAGAAAAAAAACCCAAAAGAATTAGGTTTGAATTGATTAATTTATTAAAGATATTAATGGGTCAATCTCAGAGAAACAATCACGGCTAAAGCAATCCTTGTGTAAACGGTACTGAAAAAGTGGTGTCACATCGCCACAGTAAATTGAGGGTCATTGGCTTGGAGAAAATTGACACCTTCAAAAAAATGCTGCAAATTGCGGCTACCCTCATGGATAAGCAGAGAAAAGTTTCATGGTCAGACGGGATAAAGAACGAGTTATATGCGGAGAAGCCACACACAGACACTCACACGCAGTTATTTGTGGAGAAGTTGAGAGACAAGCGGAGGCTTTGAGGTGTGATAGTGTAGTAGCATGGTGGTGGGAGCATCATGGTGAGGGTTTGGGATTTTTTGTTTTTGTTTGTTTTTGCTTCTGGAACAACTGGAGTGTTGTAGAAAGCAGAATTATGAAGAAGAGGACTTTCTCTTAAATTCTTCAGCAGTATTGTAATAGAAAATGCACATTTAGAATCTGGAATTGTCCTTACCTCAAGTCTGAAAAAAATTAACCAGCCATTTTTCCATAAACAAAGCAAACTCCCACTCTCAACTGATTTATATGACGTACACTGTTACTGATTTGATCATATATTCCATTGGAACTGAACGAGACGCTCCCTGAAATCGTCAAAGTGAAACTTTCCTTTAACCAGACTTAAGAGGGAGTTTTTGTATGGCTTAAAATCTTTGCATATTTCATTCAACCTTGTGTGTGAATATATAAAGCAACAGACAAAAATTTTTTTGTCTGTTGTTTTATATATATATATATATATATATATATATATATATATATATATATATATATATATATATATATATATATAAAAGAAAAAACAATTTTTTGGTTTTTTTTTAATTGTATCATCTTTTCACACCAGACTGCATTCAAACTTCTGAATCTATCTGCTGCAGATGCGTGACAAAGAGATTTATGGTCACCTTCCAGCTGAAAGCTCCTTTATTTGCACATTTTGTAATGATCCAGTTTTAGTTTTAGTTGAGAACGCTAAAAAAAAAAAAACGGAGCGGAGACGAACAAACAAAAAGGTGACCAAACCACAACATAGGATCACCAGGCACACTGATGAAGCTGTCTGACAGAGCTGAACAGAGTGTTCCCAGCGTTCCCAGCGCCTACTGGCAGCCGGCCATCAAAAGCCACTGGACTGTGTCTGCCACGGCGACTGACAACCCGACCAAAGTTTTCACAAACAAGGGAGCAGAGGAGGGAGACAACAGTTTAGCAGAATCATTACAGAAGCAGGCAGAGCTGTTTAAACACCAGAAACGTCTTTATTGCTGAATTATATATTAATTTTTTCAAGTGACGGAGTTGTAGTTTTCATGCAAACCCTTCAGAGGTTACACGTTAGTGTGACGTCTGGTGGCGGCAAAGTAGAAGATTGAAAACTATTTTGAAAGCTGTAAAAATAAAAATTTAACAAAATTGCATAATGGGAGGTAAAATGAGTTTTTTTATTTTTTTTTTTAACTCCAGTCACTGGTTCGTTTTGTGTCGAATCACACGCTGAGCTCTGTGGCAACGCTTGGCCTTTAAGTCATTCTAGTAAAAACTGAATAGTAAACAACCAATATAGTAACACTAGAAGCTTTAAACAAAGTGTAGGCAGGCTGGTAGATGATTGGTACCCGTCACATGATCTGCATTTCACCCCCAGATCTCCTTCTTGAGGAAACTGCAAAGGTTCTCAAAAGGGTCGAGGTCAGAGGAGGATGGTGACCACACCATGAGTTTCATCTAATGTTTTCATACCTTGTCTGGCTGATAATAATTGCATAATAACTTGGAACACAGTGTCGTTCTCGAACCAACAAAGTGTGTGTGTCTGAGTGAGAGATCCCGTCAGTAAAAAAATAAAGTAATGGTTCACAGTGTGTTACCTAACAGGGCACAAGGGTAGTTTTCTGTTATGGATCATTAAACATTTCAGCAAAGGCCTTTCAGCTTTTAAGATGTTAGTTTAATAAACAACTTGCTTCCAAAACAAGTTAGGAGTTGAAAAAAACATTGAATAAAGATAAAATATATGAATCTACAAATTACTGCAGACATTGCCAAACTATTTATGCTCATTAAATTTGTTCCAGTTTTTTGCCCGTCTTTATTCAAAACTTGCATGTATTTCATTTGGTTTTCATAAACTAGAACAACAAAAAGCAGTACATAATTATGGGTGGGAGAAACAAATGACGATTTCTTTCGCAATTAAAAATGTGGAAATTGCAAAGTGCATCTTTGATAATTTTGTGAATTGTTTTGGCCTTTATGCAACAATTTAAAAAAAAAAGTGTTGAGGAAAACTAACATTGCACATCACCGTGAAAAAAACAATCTATATGCTGTGGCAGCATCATAGTGAGGGCAAGGTTTTCAGCAAAGACAGAGTAGTGGGACTGAACAAGCACACAGAAAACCCTCAGAGAAAACTGTTAAAGTGCTTAAGATTTGAGAGAGTGGATCACCGTTCTGAAGGACTGAACATACAGCCAGCGGTGAAAAGGGCTGACTCAAGTCAAAGGATTTTCATGTTGTAACGGTCCAGTCAAAGCCTTTAAATATAAATAAAAATCTCTGCACTGCTTTTTGTTGGTCTTATGCATAGAGAAACTTAGAAACAGTTTCTCTATGATGGCTTTTTTCTTACTGAAATATTGTCTCTGTCTTACTTCAGGAGCAAAATATTATAATATAAATTTTTTTTAACCACAAACTTGCATTATTATTATAATATCTTTAAAATGGCAGCTATTTGTCTGCCTTAAACAAAATGTTCTCTAGAAAGCATGTGCTTATTAAGCACACTTCAGCGCCGCACTCCAGTATCAAGTTTCTTTTAATCGTTTAAGAAAATGTGTCACTGGCATGAAACAGAAAAAGAAGAAGCGAGCGTTAGCATGAAGTTTAATTGGCTTGTCTTCTGTATTCAGCGTTTTAAAATAGAAAATGGATGACAAAACTCACGCATCGTTACAAAACACTTGGGTTGATAACATAGTAAAAAAACAGGAATATGCTGAAACCTGTTATGCAAGTTTTGGCAGTTATTTTTAGGAGATACTGAGAAAGACAAACATCTGTTTAGTTCAGACCAAAGTGAACCCGGCAGCGGTTGCAGTCGAAACTTTAAGGTGCAGCATGCAAGGACTCGATGCTACAGTAAGAAGTTCATAATTTCCTAGCTAAAAACAATCTACTAAAATCATCTTAAACATCACTAAGAAATGTTTTAGTTGAGTGAATTAAGCAAGTTGGAGGGTTAAAAACAGACTTTGCTCCCTTTTGCTACACTCATCATGTTTGACCTGAGTGATCCCACGCTGGCTGGCTTCAGCGAGGCTTTCCCAGACACAAACACCTTATGCAGGATCAGTAACCGAGGCTCGTGTATCAGTCTCCGATTTGAGTAATAACTGTCATGTTCACACGTGCACCTTGGTTATAAAATGTTAAGAGAAACATTAGAAGGAGTGAAGTTTCCTCTGGAATCCATGCTGAGATTTTTCTTCCTTCTAACACTGAAGTAAAACATCTGGAAGATCAGTGCATGAGGAATCTGGAGCAATGATCGCCTGTGACAGTAAAAGTTAACAGTGGGAATACTTGTGAACATAAATCTCCTAAAGTTTCTTAGTGTTTGCATGTGAAAACACTTCAGGTTTAGCGCTTGAATCTACTGACTGAGGCATGAAAGAAATTAAACTCTTAGCTTTTTTTTTTTTTCTTTATCATCTTCCATAAGCAGCAACAAATAGACTTAT